TTTCTCCTCATAAGAATGGCTCTCGATAAGTGGCGAAATATCTTTTGTAGGAGATGCTTCCTGTTCATTAGTAATAACCTGGATCTGTTTCTGTTCCAATTTCGTGATTCTATCTTTAAGCTCAGTATTTTCTTCTGCGATCTGTTCCAATTTGGCGATCCTGGCCTTGAGCTCAGCATTTTCAGCTTCTCGCTTGGCATCCTCTTCCATAACTGTTTTATCAGTTTAGCATTTTTTGCCTCAAGCTCAGTCTTTTCAGCTTCGAGCTCAGAAATTCGTTGTCTTAAGGAATCAATCTCAGATTGCATGTTTTAGCAATAGATTTTATATATTTATTATTTATTTAAAATGTATAAAGTAACAAAAATTTCGGCGACGGGCCGTCGTCAAAAATTCCAAAAAAAATATAACACTAATAAAAAAATCATATTTAGTTATATCATGATGGCAAATTTTGATTGAAAGTGAAACACGTTTTCAAAGTGCACACAATCTACCTCACTTCAGTCGAAATTTTATTAATAATAGAGTTAAACAATTTGCATTTGTAGGATTTTTAGTTGAGATAAAAAAATACATCCAACTATTTTCTAATATGATATGGAGAATCAATTTTATAAAAATGCATATACAAAAATTACTTTTGTTTTAGACCTGCAATTGCAATCTTGACAAGTTTTGGTGACGGGGTAGGCATTCTGCCATAGGAAGAACGTGATGGAGAACTAGGCGGGGTGTTAGAAGCGATTACCGTTAAAACTTCAGAAATACGATGCTTAAGATCATAAAATGAAAGACATTAAATGGTTAATGACGGATTGCATCAAAGACAATAAACAGCTATTATCTTAACCACTTACTTTAATATTATAAAACGCTTCTAAAACCGGCACCAAATTTATGATTTTTTCCCGTTCCGTTGGGACAGATACATTTGCGACTAAGATCATCCTATATATTCCGTCATAATTTAGATCCATCTCGTAGATATGAACATTCATGCCTATGAATGCAATCAGATGTTAGTTGGCATATGCACTAAAAAGTCGGTTCAAATTTGCATACTTACCACATACCCATATGCCAAAAGAAATCATTCCAATTCTATTTCCGTATTTTTTGATTAACTCGTCCAAAGTACCCGCTTGGAACTCAGCAAGTTTAACAAGATCTTTTTTCGCCAATACAGATGATGAATCCCTTGGTTTAACTTCTCCAAAGAGAATTTCATCTCGAGTATTAGTCAAAATCTTGAAATCGGGTTTATTACCTTTAACAGTGTCATTTTCCTTGTTGCTAGAACGTCGATTTTTTGAAGAGGAGCTCTCGCTATTAGCCCTTTTAAGTCAAGCATATAGTTGTTAAATAAGAACAGAGATTATATCTACACAACGCTTCTAAACATACCACATTAATTCTAACATTGAGTCCCGAAAAATCTCATTGATTAAGTCGTGCAAAGTGTTGTGGACAAAAGTATCTTCATTGTCTTTATTAATAGGGCCCAAAAAAAAACCGTGAACAACTATAAATATAACACCTACAATTCCGTAATATAATTTGGTATATTATTACAATTATAACACTTACAAATTCCGTAATATTATCTGACATTTACAAAAATTAGCTCTATCCTCTTTGTTCAACTCCGTGACTCTGGAGAAATTTGTACACCATCTATCTTCGATTTCATCCAATGGCGTAAACGAATTTAACAACTAAAATAGATGATTAGTGTAGTAGTGTTGCAATTTAACGCAAAGTCTGTGAATAAGAAATTAAATCTCACCGAAGAATATTCCAAAATTATATTGTTGACCGCTGATGTCAACCCTGAAGGTGTTTGTCTTCGACAAATTGTATCCCAAATCGTCGAGTCACAGGACAAATATGTTGGTTTTGTCCGCTCAATCAGCATTATATTTGATAGGCATCTAGTTTTATCATGTAAATAATGAATATCACATTGAAAACCACAAAAATCCATGATTCGTAATACTTACAGAATTTCATGAATATATTTTTTGTAACATAGATATGGTTTTTTCTTAACTTGTTGAATTGTTGACATCTGAAAATTCCGGAACTCGTTGGAGAGATTATAATTTCCAAAAATCCACTGAAAAAGTGCATAAAATATAGTTAACGTACAGTGGATGCAATGAAACATTGACCTCTCAATTTACCCACATTTTTTTTCGAAGTATCCCTAAAATCAATCTTATTAACTGCATCCTCCCATGAGTAAAGAACCTTCATTCGTTTCTTGGTATCGTAAATATTCATGTTCGATATCTATGTGTAAGTATATTGTAAATTAGATTCCCCAGATTCCCTCAGAAATGACAAAACTAAGATCATTATTACCTTCTTCACAATTAATGTTAGAAGACGTAACAGATGAACACAAACTCTGATTCTCTTGGTTTATTTTTGAATCTGTTGATCTTAATATTGAACTATCATGCTGGTTTGACATTTTATCATTCGAATTCTATAAAAATACAATACCAATTAATGAAAAGTAATATTGGGATAAGGTTGCGGGCTATTCATCAAAACAATTGCCTGATCTTCCTGTTGATCCAGTTCACATTGAGGAGTAGTGCGTACAAGAAAGTAGTCATTGATTTTTAGTCTTTTCGAATCTTTATTATCGGTCTATATAATTAAAATTGTAATTCATTAAGAACAAGCGCAAATTAATAGTTCTATTTAAAAAGCTATGCATCTTTACCTCTTTCTGATTGCTCCTCTTTGGTGCAGGCTTTACATCGAACACTCCTCCACTCATAGTTCCATATACACCATTTGTTATCCCTCTCACTGTCCCGTTTATGGTTGAACGACGGATATTAATCTGCATATTCGAATGCACCTTTTCCCACTCTTTTGATCTTTTTTTATCGGGACGATTACCCTAAAACGATAATTTTAGGAAATTAGTAATATCCATAACTGTCGTGTTTTCATTCCGTCTTAATACTTTCGTATTTTCATATTTTGACATCAGACAGGCTCGAAGGTATCTGTGTCTGACTATGCCAGTAGGCTCGAGACTTTTAACTCGAGGCTTTTAAACATCAGGCAAGCACGAAGGTCACCTGCGCCCCAGCATAGCCTTTGTGGCTCGGCGAGAAGACTTGAATGATAGAGAGCGAGAAGGTCCCTACCACGCCACTTATTATCTTTCACGCAAAACCCTAATACTTGCCTGTCTGTAAAGTTTGAGAAGTTCCAATGCTTTTTCACGCCTTTGACCCTTCTCGGAATCAGCGATTAACTCAAGAGACTTTAAGTAACACTCTATTTTTTGTCTGTAAGATTCTATATCGGTACATTCATCGAGGAATCCGACAATGTCCCACTCTGACACTTTTCGTTTAAAATACTCATGTATCTATTTTTGGGGATGAACAAAAGGTAAAGTCAGGATCGCAAAAAAGCAAAGTTCATCTGCATTGACTTTCATACCGTTTTAGATGTAGACATGATAGAGTATGTTTCGATAATGGTTTTGTCACACTATATATATTTCACAAAGAAAACGCGTTTGAGATACGCGTGTTCCATAATAAGCTCATCACGTAAATTAACCGTGACCAAATTTGTGTAATGAAACCAAAAATTTCAGCGACGGCCCGTCGTCAAAAAATCGACATTCTCCTTTCTAAGTTCGGTAATCTATTATTTAAAATCTATTATTTAAAATCTTACGTGTCGATCATGTAACGTTTAGTTTACCCCATATAAATTATTTAAATTGTGTCACCAAATTTTACATACGTAACATATGTTATAAAAGTTACTATTAACTTATCCGTCAGCGTAAGTGACGGGGTACTCACTAAATCATAAAAAACATGTAGACTAGACATGCATGCAAATTTCTATTATATTCGAATTCTTTCTATAGCACATATCACATTATAGGTTAATTATTTTAGTGAATATACCTTGCCTTTTTGCAGTAACTGCTCAAAGCCAGAAAAAAAATCAGATAACATATACTGATAACATATACATCTTTTTTCTGAGAGACAAAGAGGAAAAAAGGAATTCTCACAACTATTTACCAGTACAATTTATGAACCAGTTTTGGTACTTATATCCGAAAATGGAGCATATGTCTGAAATACATTTTCATTCATGTGGTAATCATGGGCCATTTGTTGATTTCATATGTTCTGTCAATTGTCATAAGCAGTTGTACATAACTAGTTAATATATATACAATTGATTTTATAACGGAGTTAGTGTCAGCTGGAAGCTGGTTTACATCAAGACACATATAAATACCAACACCCTGCCTTTTCGCAATAACTGCTTAAAGCCAAAAAAAGTCAAATAAGTTAAATACTTCAAACCTAGTTCAGATAATATTTTCAACATATAATTTCTGAAACTCTCTACAGCTCTAAAGAGATATGTCTCGTATTTCTCGGTATAAGATCAGGGTTATACAATCTGGCCCTTTGGAGATATCTCTTCGAATCATATCAACATATAAAAATAATTTTGAATTGGATTTGAGGAATAGAGCGTTTCTATCTGAGATAGATACTAAAGAACTAAAAGATGATAAGCTAGAAAGATTAACAATGTTCTCAACAGTAGATAGTCTTGGCCATGTCAGCTCTGCTAATTTTGTACCCTTATATATCGAATTAACTTCTTTATCTTTTAAACATAAACATAAATCAACAAAAATTGAATTGTGCAATAGACATATATATTATAGGTCAAAAATGCTAAAATCACTAAATATATATTCTCTATAATTGATAAATATGTCTAGTTTTGATATTACAACTTTTATCGATAAGAAAGATAGAACATTACTCAAACCCTTTAATATTCGTCCTAGATATGATCTTAAATATGTTACTTCGTACATTGGACATTATCTTATTTTTGATGGAAAACAATATGACGAACTCTTTAATAATGAGAAATTGTTTGACAATCTGTCTACTATAAAACAGAATGAAACACTAGTTCAATGGGGAATACGAGTTAGAGTACCTTTACAGAATTTGTTGAGCGCTGGAAAATTTAGTATGTACTATTGATATTGTCTATTTGGATCATTTGGTTAAGGTAAATTTGTTAATTTCGATTATTATAGACTGAGAATTCATAAGAGCCATATGGCAATTTATTTTGGTTACTGGAAACTCGTAAAAATTAATGATATAAAGCCTAAAAAATCATTCCATTTTACTAGAGAAAGGTATGTTGATCGTCTCCTACCTAGTGATTTGATGATCAGTCCTTGGGATAATAAATGTGATAAACTGAAAACTGATTTTGGACGTGCCAAAGTTATACAATGGACATATAAATGATTCAAAGAAAGAGTACCATCAAATGCACGTCTCACTTGATTAAGTTTACCAAATGATAATACTACAGATGATGAAAAATTTCTAACATTAATTCCATATAAAATAAAAAATCCTATATCCCTAGATCGAATTAAAATGCGTCTTAATAATGAATATGCCGAGTATATAAAAAAAAATAATAGGTATCCTTTTGTTGCTGAATATGAAATTGGAACATATAAAAAATATATTATTCTATATAATTGGATAGGTTCTAAAAAATAACAATTGAGATATCGATTTCAAAAGTGACTTTTAGAAATAGAAACATAATATATACTTAATTAATTTATTCATGTATATCTATTTTTTTCTTGATGTATATTTTATAATTTTCATAAAAGATTTCATTTTTTTCTACGTCATAAAATACGGTATTAATTTCTTGATACTATATATCAGTTGCAAAGCAATGACTTAAAGAGCTATGAAATTTAATAAAGCATATTCAGGTTTAATTAATAAATTACCACCTTCCTTAGTAAATGAAGCTTGGAAATACTTAATATCTCAGAAGAGAAATCCAATAACAAATGATGAAGCTAGTGCAGTAAACCTATTAGTCAAATCATTTTTAAGACATGAAGTTAATAGATATCAGAAAAAATTAAAATACCAATGCAAAAGTTTACTTTTATTTAAAAATTCCTTATATGATACAGATATGTCCAATCAAGAAATGCAAACCCAAGATACTGACCCAATTTGTGATCAGATACATAAGAGTCTTTGCTTTACATGTGACATCAGAAAATTTTAATAGGCAAAATATTCTGAAAATTTTATGAACATTAAAATTCCGTAAATTTATAGGACCTACGAAAATTTTCGAAAATATTACAGAATTTTAAC